TTTTAAATCACTGACACATGAACTAGTATTATAACTGTTAAAATAGATTAATAATAAAATGCAAATCATATAAGAAGTACAGTACTAAATATATACGTATCTATATACATATAGATGCATGTTAATTGGTTTGTCCCTGCTAAGAACTGTTTATTGCAATTACCTTGTTGAACATATTACCTATATTAAGACCCTGTATTCTATGCAAATGTACCATAAAATATTGTTTCCCATCACTCATAGTGAGCTCAAATAATCCTGTTTTCTGTCTTTCCCATAAAGACACAATTTATAAGTACAGTTAAAATAAAATTAGATACATTTAAAATATCTAAGCACCCCAAACACCTTCTCAGCTCCAAATCCATTGTGTCTCGGGTGAAGTCCCAGCCCGACCATGTCTCCTAGCCCAGGTCCAACACTGGACCACGGTATTCCTTTACAGTGGGCGTGAGCCGCAGGTGCCCATGTTACCATCGTATATTGTTCCCCAATTCCACTATTTTCACTTGTCTCCAACAGCACCAACAGAACCAAAAAAAGTCCTTTATCTTCATGGAACAGTACATCAGTTAACAGCAAAGAACTGGCCATCTGCTTTGGCTGCTTTTCTTTACTTCTGCCAGGTCTCACTGCATAATAGATAAGGGTTTTACGGCTGTACAGGAGGAGGGCACAGTCATGGAAAACAGAAACACAGAGGCACATGGAGACATGGAATATGGACAGAAAAACATAGAACTGGAGACAATTCCTCATTTAAAATAATTGTGTATATATGTATATATATTTATATACATAATGTAGATATACTGATTAATTTTGTTTCCCTATATAAAATACTAGTCTGAATCTTTATGATGGTGTGAAGATTATTCAATTAATGTAAATGCTATTCAGAATTAACTGTTTAGCTTGGTTTCTAATTTTATCCATGTAAAGATCGTGCAAAAAATGCATTACATACCACTATCTATGTATTACTACCACTGACAATTACATACTCATATCACTGATAATTATACACTATAATTATGTTTTTATACATTGACCATTATATACTAAACCTTACAGTATCTACTAAGTATATATTAAGTTTTGATACATATTGATTTAATAATAGTTTTGTTCAGAGAGTAGTATTTAGAAATTTCTGGCATAACTTGAATGCTGAGGTTTAAGTAGAACAAGATTCTTTCAAATCTCAGGGCAAGAATAAGGATAATTATTCATTTTCCTTATTAAACTCTCAGAGGCTTAGCTCTATCTCAAGATGGTTAAGAGTAGAAAAATCAAATACAAGGGAGATTCACCAAATGCCAAGCACTGTATAAGCAGCTATATGTAGTATATTATTCTATCCATTCTTAAAAATAACTCTGCATGGAATATGTATTTATTTTTATAGATGAAAATTAGGCTTATAAATTTTTAAATTACTGAAAGCTCCTGGGGGGAAGAATAAAACAAAATTTTCCACTAACATATTTTTAGCAGCTAGCACAGATTTATGACTCACAGTGGGTTAACCAGTATGTAACTAGTTTACATAGTGAAAGGGTTACAGACCTAGCAGGTGGCAGAGTTGGAATTTTATCTCAGGTGTGTCAGACTTCAAAGCTCAATCTGTCTGCGCCCACATAATGAATGGGACAGGTGATCTGGACTTCTGCCTCACCTCTCCCAGATGAGCAGAAGAGTTGGTACAGGATTTTGTACTGGGAAGAATGGCCTTGATGGGAATCCATTATCTACTGGCAGTCAGATTGAAGCTCACAAAACCCCCTGATTTTATATCCGCTCTGAATCCCATAAGAGCTGTGTAACATTAGTCAAGTGTACCACTCAATAATTCAATATTTCTACCATAAAGAGTTAATGATAAAGACTATAATAATAAATGTTGAAACCATAAGAATGTTGTATGAATTAATTGTACCAATAATCTAACATGCATGGCTATAAAATCATCATTATTACTTGCTCAAGAGAAAAGGATAGGTACTCAGGCCATATCCAGAAAAGTTAATTGTCCATGGTCAGCAGGGCAAAGAAAGCCAGAATCACAACAGTAGCCAAGGACATGTTATCAGGGGAGGTCTAGGAAACAAGGGTACTTCTGTAATTGTGACAATCATTTTAATTCAATCATCTATGGTTTTAAGTTATGCAGTATTCCTGTAAGCCAAGATTGGTGGAGACTCTAAAGATATCATCTGAATAGATTTCAGCATTGGTGAAAGGTTAACATATTCCTCAGTTTATGAGTAAGCTGGGTTCTAAAATATGAAGCTCTTTATTTACAAGTCAGGAGTGGTACCACATAGGCAATGGAGCAGCCTTATAGGGAAGGTAGACAGTCATGAATTGAATTTTCTTTGGTGCAAGTTTTAGAATACCTAAGCACAATAACAAGGATAAAGTTTAAAGTGGAAAGCTTCCACATTGTTTACTCATATATGGTTCAAGAAAAAGGTGATAGAAAGTAATATACAGTAAAAAGAACTATTTACGTTTTTTGGCTATAACATTTTATATACCAGGTCAATTTCATATGTCCCCTACTAGGAGTTTTAAAATATTTCCCAGTTACCTGGAAGAGACTGTGTGTTTGGGACCCAATAAAATATATAGAAGGTACTATCAGTTTTGGGAAACCAGACATTTCAGAAAAATAGTATTTTTACTAGTTCTGCTATTTTAATCTACTTTCCTCAAGCAAGTATAATTTTAGTCTAACTTTTAAAAAATAAATAGTATAGTGTATATATTCTTTTCCCCTTGAGCATAAACATCAAAACAAATACTTCTCATGGTAACATAATTTCTGAGCTAATCCCTGGTTGTTAAAATTTACTGGAACTAAAAGTGCAGCGACAGATAGTATGATGAAAGAAATTAACATGTTAAAGCACTTAATATTCATCATGTATTGTGCTAGAATTTTTATACATGCTATTTCTTCAATCCGTAAAGGAACCTTATGAGTATAGCATTTGTACAACATCAAAAACCTAACTAAAATCATCTTTAGATATATATTAGGTTGGCCAAAAAGGCTGTTTAGTTTTTTTCCTTAAAGTAAAAGACTCGTTTTTCATTTTTACCAATAACTTTATTTACTTGGATATTTTGAGAATGTAGGCTAACTCCTGCTATTGGCTTCTAGTGGGTAGAGGCCAGGGGTGCTGCTAAACATCCATGAATGCATAAGACAATTCCTATAGCAGAGAATTATTTGGCCAAAATGTCTATAGTAGCAAGAAACTTTGCAAACCACTTTTGACACATTCAATCAGTCACAGCACCTTCATACTCTGCACAAATCTTTTTGTGTGTATGTTTTACTTGCATTTTTACCTTTACTGAAATAATGAACCATAATATGCCAAAAATGTTGCATATTTTCTTCCATCTTCAATATTAAAATGCCTGCATAAAAATTCAACAGTTTGGATTTTTTAATACAAGCTGATTTAACAGCTGTCAAAATACAATGTAACAAAATTATTTCAAAAAAGTTAAAGACAAGCCCTACCAGAGTGATTGTAGGGAAAAAAAACTGAACTAACCTTTTGGCCACTCCAAAAGAAAATGAGAAAAGTACTTATTTAAAGTGCCATAATTATCTGATTGTCCCATGTCACAAAATATCATATGTTCCCAAGTGTGTGAATGTACTGCACCAGTACATAAATTAAGTACATATTTTGAAATTTTTGACAAAATTTAAATTGTTTATGGTTTTATAATCTTCCTTTCATTTAAAAACAGTACTGACCTGTATTATAGTGATTTGTTATATGTAAATGTGTGACGTCAGGGGAACTTCAGAGAACAACTCAAAAGAGACAGGTTACTTTATCCAGTTCTTACAATGACAGAGGAATGCAACTCAATTTGAAACTCAGGAACATAGGCCAAATTTGGAACTACATCCTAATGAACTACAATAGATTTCTATAATCAATTAAAAACCAAAAGTAAATGAAAGAGGCTTAAAATTCATTTCTGCTGCTTGATACATTATGATATTCTGAGACTTCCTAAGCACTGGTATGTACCGCTGTGTTCCCTTTTCTTTGATTCAATTACCATAAACGTATGAGATAGTGGCTGTATTATACCATTTTCTTCTTAGTGAAAAAACAGTGGTAATTAGTAGAAATCTTTAAATTGTGAAAAAGAAATGTACACGTAGACTTCACCTTGCCAGTTTTTACTGAGATTCCGTGGATGTTATATACTAAGTTGCATGGATATTGTCTGGCATACTAACTAAACAGTCATGTTTTGTAACATTTACAAAGGTATGTAATTTCTTATACATCTGTGTTGTCAATACCAACATGTTTAAATAAACAGAGGTTACAGTCTTTTATGAATATATTATCATGCATCTGTAAAATTACCTTTCTGTATTTGTTCATATTATTTTGATGTGTTTGTTTCTATTTTGCTTTGAAAGGTATATGACAAAAATAATTTTCCTTTAATGAGAGGTTTAGTTTTTATTCTATGTATTAGAGATTAAACATTATCATTACTAGGAGCTATTTGTTTTGTAAGTAAAGACTTACAAACAAATCATTACCCAGTTTGGGAAATCAGATTTTGGGGGTGTTTTCTTTCAAATGTTCATACTTACATTAAAATTAATTTTAATTACAAAAATATATAAGTGAAAAAATTCACAATGAGTAATACAGTTTAATGATTCAGCAGAATTTTCCTAAGTGTGGTATAAATAAAGAATAAAATATCCAAGTGTTTTTTTTTAAACCTTTGGTTATACATACATTTCAAAAGTTACCTTAAAAACTAAATTTCAAACTCATATTTACTGCAGCTCTGGTTCACATTGTGGCCATTTACTCCAACTTCTATTAACATAGGGTAAGCAAAGGCTGCAAAATTCTAGAGAAAAGATTTACAGAAAAGGGAGCAGTATAACTGAGACAGCATTAAGCATCACACAAAAAACTAATTAAAGGCCTTACCGTGAACTATCGGTGCTGAGAGCATCATGAAGACAAGTAGCTGTGACGGCCACATGGTTGTGTGGTTGAGCGTGAAAGTGCCTCAAGAGTGTTTGAAACGTGTAACAAAGGAGTGTTTCGGGTTCCTCTTCCGTATTGCAAAACCGATGATTAAAAAAAAAAAAGAAATATTCCTCAAAAACAAAAACACCAATATCCCAAATCCGAATCCTGCAAACAAGAAAAAAAAAGAGGTTACCAAATAGAGGTTTTCTTAATTCGTTGAAAATTCATTTCCTCATTAAAATATTTGTTATACCTCATTTCATTTTAAAGAGTACAAGATTCATATATAAAAATGAACAGATTACCTAAATGACAATACTTATGTATACATATTAACAGTGGTTATTTCCCAGACCCCAAAGAGACTGAAATGAATAATTCAGTATCACTGGACAAATTATATAAATAATTATATTAATTTTAGTGACTAATGTGTATTATTCATTAATATGTATAAACATATGTGGCACTATGTATAAATATTTTCAACAAATATAATTTTTACTAACTTTACTAAAACATTCATTCATTATCATTACTAGGAGCCTAGTTTTCTTTCTTTATTGGTTTTGAGAGAGAGAAAAACATTGGTTTGTTGTTCCACTTATTTATGAATTCACGGGGATGAAGACCCCAACCTTGGCTTCTCCAGACGAGTCTCTACCCAACTAAGCACCTAGCCATGGTCATTCAGGTGAATTTAAAATAAAAAAGTTAAACATATGAGTTTTGCTTTCATTCTTGGTCCTGATATTTATTGAGAAATCATTCTACATATTAACTACACTGCTGTTCTAAGCATCTTTGTAAGTAAATCTGTGACACCATAGATTTATGTTAATTAATTATGCTCAAACATAATTAATCAATTCAGCAGCAGTTTATAGAGTACTCACTGAAATACAAAGCACTGCACTAGGAAAACAGATAGAATATTGACTAAAACCTTTGACCTCTTCTCCAGGATCTTACAACTTAAGGTGAAGAATCTTGCTTAAAAGCATTCAATACATACATATGAGGCATTAATTTTTTAAGCATAAAAAAGTTATGTTAATGAATCAAACTGATATACCTGCCTCCGTCTAAGTACGCACAGATTTATCTTAGAGAACAAAAATACTGAGGAAACATGACCTAAATTTTAATGATTCTGTCTTTCCTCGCACCTCTAAAATGGATCAGTCATGCAGGGACTGCGTCTTCCTTCTCCCTCTTTCTCCTTTGTACTCTAATGATTAATATATATTTTATGTCATTTCATATTTTGAGTATGAATTTATTTTTTCTGGAAAGGGACATTAAAAATAGAGATAATTTACTAAAGACTATATTATAAGCCTCATTTTGACAATATGAATTCCAAACTATTTCTGAAGTACTTGCATAGGTTACAAGGTGAAATCACACATATTTGTCTGAATTCCTAGCACTGTGGTTTATAGCATGGAAGTTAAGAGCACAGACTCTGGGGCAATACCACCCTATCTCAGTGACTAACTCTTCCAGTACTATAGCCTTGGGTTAGTCATTTAAGCCCTCAGAGTATCACTTTCCTGTCATATAATGGGAAATAGTGATATTACTTAATGCATATGATTACATGATCATTAAGCTAACATTTGTAATTTCCAGTTATATAAGATACATTAAAATATGTATTTTCCAGAAGAGTCTAGCATGTAAAAAGTGTTATATGTATTGCTAATTATACATTACATTAGTTTTCAATTTTATCCTTTTAGCATGTGAGAACAAGATCATTTTATAGGTTAGCTAAAAAATATTTACTGACTCATTAGTTTTTAGATAGGTTCCAAGAACTGTCAATTTGGACACAAAAGATATTTTAAAACCCTCAATCACACAGATTTATTTTTAAATGCAGCTTATAATAGACATACTGATAATATTTTACTTTTACAAACAGGAAAAGCATTAATGGGAAAAATGTGATTTAGATAAAACCAAAACTATGTGGGAAAGAATCATACGAAACATTTCATTTCATTTTCTCTTATTCACTCTCTGACTCACAAAATATATAGAGAACTTATTTATTGTAATTATATAACTCTTTTCAAAAACAAATTTTGAAAGAAATTGGTAATTGAAAACAACATTATTTAACATGCACATAATAATTAATGGATATTTAAAGAATACTTAAACTGCTTGATAGACCAACAAGTAAACAATACCCGCACCATCAACATTCAGGTATTGTTTCTCTTTTCTCTACGGCCACTGAGTTTGTGAGTGACAAAAACTGACATCAGTGGGTGTGTGTATACATACAGACCCATACATAAATTACATAAGTACACACAAATAAGATAAACACATACAGAACTGTTTAGCTACTGAAAAGTTATGGGTAGCCATCTAGGTAAATTACTTATTCACTATCCCAAAAGTATACACTAAATATTCTTGAAAATACAAATAAAGTAGAACGATTTTTGTCACAACTCACACTGTAGTATGAAAAACACAACATAGAAAATAAAGTCACATAAAAAAGAGAAGAATGAATATTTTTAGTATGTATCATATGCCAACCAATGTTCTAGAAATTAAATAATTTACTGATTTAATTCTCCATTCAAATATGTAAAGCAGAAATACTGTCTCACATTTACTAAAGAGGAAAATTTGATGTTATGCAGCAAGAATTTCAAACCAAATGTCTGACTTGAATATCAGTGCTCTTTTCTATTTATATAGTAGAAATAAACAAGAAACTGTATGATAGTAATATGTTTATTAGTTGTACAAAGGAGGGAAACAGTGTAGCAAGCTTCTGGATAAACTTAGGCCTTGCTGAAATACTTTCATTGTGAAAAGAGAAGAACCTGAACAGTACAAAAGTGGAAGGACAAAACAGAAAAAACATACAGGTTTATAGTTTATAAAGCATAATAATTATACAGTTCCCTGTGGAGATTCAGGGAATATTATTCCCAAAGAGAAATAGGAGTATTGCTATTGTGAAGTTTGACTTTAGTGAAAACCAGAATAGTTCATTTTATAAGATATATAGTTTCACATTGATGAAGCAATGGGAGAAAGTTACCTTATAAAAAAGGAAAGAAATTACCTATGTGGTATTTATAATGGTTTAAGATTGAAGAAAGGGCATAAAGGCACTACTACCATGATATTTTACCTTTGATTTAGGCATAAGTATTTGTTTTTATGATTATTGTGTAAACTGAGGTAGAAAAAAGAATTTGGAGGAACTGAAGTTATTATTTGAGAAGGGTAACACGCTCTTCTCACATTGCAGCTCCAGGGCCCGCCTATCTCTCACACCCAGCCTCAAAATAATAGGCTAATTTGGGAGCACATATAATAAAATTCCACCACTTAAACTACATAAGTTTTACTAGATAAATGAAAGACAAGAATGCTCATAACCCACAGGAAGAAAAACCCTCACTCTTTGAAAACTAATATTAAAAAAATAAGAAAATTTTCTGGAATTTTTTTCCCAATGTATGTGTTACCACTAACTTTACCAAACCAATCACTTTTCATATAAAAGGGATGGATCTTTACTCAACTTATTTCTAAAACCTATCATTTCAAAAACACACAGAAGGGGGAAAAAGAAATGAGAAAAAACATTAGAAACCCATTTTGTAGCATGACAAGATAATCACTCATGAAAAAAGACTTACTAAAGATATAAAGCATTTAACAAGTGAATTTCAAGAAAATTCCCATCTCCAGTGAATTTGTCTCAGCCTTCTCTGTGCAGAACGCTCTGTGCTGCTGCAATGAACACAATGGGGAGAGCGCGGCTTCAGGTCTGAAATGTGACCGCCGTTCTCAAAGGACTTGCAATGAAATATGAATGCCAATAGTATGCTCACCAATGAATCACGCTGCTGTGCAAAATGCGATAGGTGTTATGTGAGATGTTCTAGAAACAGAATGTTAAAAAAATGACAGGTTTTCTTTTGTGTGTAAAGTAAGGGATTTAAACTCATGCAGACTTAATATTCTGGTGCTGGCAAAGTCGTATACCTCTCTAAATCTCTGTTTCTTCAACTTGAAGACAGCAACCAATATTCACCTTGTAGGCTGACTTCGAGCATTAGATAAGTACTCCACTGCCTGATGCAGAGGCTGCCACATGATCCTGCATGTCTGTCAGTACAAGTCTGTCATTCACCAACTTCCTTTGTTTCCTGTGTTTTATCAAAATGACAAAGACCATACGCCCCTAACATCCCCTCACATGCATGTTTGGGAAACTAACACAGGTGTCTAGACATGTACGATTTCCTTGAAAATTCTAGAGATGAACAATTTGTACTAAACGTGAGATTTTATAAAGGATTTTCAGTGTTTTTGTTTAAACCATACTTTATGATGTATGTCACTAATATCCATTAAGAAATGATCATGGTAATATTCAAAAATTATTTTCAAAAGATGGCATTTCTAACTGTTGTCAAAGATAATCACAATACAGCAATTTTGCCTTATTAACCCAAGCCAGGCTTGGAAGAGATATATTTCTAGTGTAGTCCTTGATTGGGAACTTGAAGTTTATACGTACTCAAGTAAAACTACCTAACTTCATTACTCTTCACAATATTCAAAATTTAAAAGCAAGGTTAAAGTATCCTAATTTGCATCATTCATATTTAAGATTATAATTATAAAGCTGTGTAATTTGAGGCAAGTTCACTAAATATTTTTTAATCAATAAATGAAAAAATGCTACAAATGTATTGAAAACCACTTATTCGTTATATTTAGACCAAATTTCATTCATAACTAGTGCTGCTATACACTAAAATTATTTGAATTACATCTCTTATTGATGAATTGAAGGCACTGATTTTACTTTGGGGAAACTCTCACCTTAAACTCTAGTGTCATAATTCATTTCTCCTGCTCGTATCCTTCCTATTGTGTTTGAAAACTTCTATCTTTATTTTATACAATAGATATAAAACCTATTTCTACATAGATTTTACACCCTTTCTACACCTTAAATACAGATTAATATTAAATCTGATTGCCACTCATGTGAAATTGTTTCCTTCGTTTTAGCTATTCTTAATCACATTTCTGTAAAATGACTTATTCTAAATATTTTCCCAAACTGTATGTTATTATATCTTTCTCCTCATGGTAACCTTGAAAAT